TTTATCCCTATGAATGAAACCCCGAAAATATGATGGTAGGGGAGCAAGGCATGCCGTAAAAAAAAAAAAAAATATAGAAAAAATTAGTGGGGGGGGGGCTANAGGAGTAGAATAAATGCTGGCAAAAAAAATTAGAACTAACCTGGCAATGATTTAAAAAAAAAAAAGGAAGTATAAAATCCGTTGACTTGGCCGAGAAATGGAAATAAAACATCAGCTGATAGCAAACAAAGGTTACCAAGGAAACCAAGGAGTGGAACTTTCATAAAAACAGTTTAATGGAAAACAGCGTAAGTAGGGCATCTATACAAGCTGCGTTGCTATACTCTCCGGAGAGCTCTCCGGAGAGCTCTCCGGAGGATTGGGAGCGGAGAGTCTCGGAGCATTACCCGGAGGGTTGACGTCATCTCTCCAGTCTCTCCGCGTTGTTGGGTCCACCAGATTCTGTTTTGTTTACACTTCAATTTTAGGTTAAGTTTCTTTATTCATTTCGTTTTCGTTATCGATAGTTTAAGGGAATGAATTAAATCATAACTTACGAGCATTCATTCGTTCAAACTCTTCTAGTGGAAGCTCCGTAGTTATTCTCGTCTCAAAGTTAAAAATGAAATCCACAAACACTTTCATCTTTAAATATTTGAAAATTCTAAAACTCACTGCATAAGCAGAAAAAGAGAATGCTAAACGCCTATATTCTTACGTCAGTCTACGTATTGGTCTCCAGCTCTCCGACCTCGAGAGGTTAGCTGGAGAGCAGTTTGGAGACTGACGTAGCATGACCATAGAGTACAATAGAGTCGCAATCTACTGGAGCGCCGATGAAGTCAATCCTTTAACGGGCCTTTCCGAGCCGCTTGTGCTCCGAAAAGTGTGAACCAAGTGTGAACCCAACGGCACTTATCATCATGATGGCTTATGGAGAAATCAAGAACTGCTTGTGTTTTTTCGACATTTTTAATTCAATCATCATTAATTTTTGCAAATTTTGCTGCAAATAGGTAGTCAAAGCTATAGTGAATCCATTAATGTATCATACTCTTGAATAATATTCAAAAAGGGACGTAAATTGAGACTTAAACCAAGTGTGAACCGACCAGCATTTCTTATCACGGCGGCTTACGGGAAAAGCAACCACTGCTTGTGTTTTTTCGACATTTTTAAATTCAATTGATATTAATTTGTGCAAATTTTGCTGTAAATAGATGGTGAAAGCCAAAATGAATCCATTTTTGTATGTTACTCCTGGATTTTATTCATGCAGGGATTTAATTTCTGACTTATACAAAGTGTGAACCAACCGGCATTTCTAACACGGAGGCTTATGGAGCACACGGAGGCTTAACAACTGCTTGTGTTTTTTCGACTTTTATTAATTCCATCTATATTAATTTGTGCAAATTTTGCTATAATTAGATATTCAAAGCCATAATGATTCCATGAATGTATGTTACTCCTGGATAATATTCATAAAAAAATGGACTCAATTTCAGACTTATTACCGGCCTACTTAGCTGGTTCAATGTGTGTGGACCTAGCCGACGAACGGAGCCGAGTCGGGTGTGGGGAGCGCTGAGCGCGAGTCTCAGCGCATGCGCAATCGCTAGTCGCCGCACACTAGTCTCCAGAGAACTGCACAAAACAGCCTCCAACAGTGACTTCATCGGCGATCCTGTACTTTGCGACTCTATTGTACTCTATGAGCATGACGTAGCAAGTCTCCGGGTAATGCCTCCGGAGTCAGAACAACGGTTGTTTACGTCTCCGTGTAACTCCGGAGAGCCCTCCGGAGACTTAGCAACGCAGCTATATTTAATATCCTAAGGCTTTTTTTTCCCTCCTTCACTTTGGACAGTTTGTCCTAATACGATCTCGGAAACTACTGGACCGATTTTCTTCGGATTTGTTTTAAATGAAAGCTCTTAGGCCGTAGATGTGCACGCACCCCTTGATTTTTCGATTTGCGCGACCGATAATGCAAAATTTACCTCGATTTGATAACGACATATTTGCCTTTTGGCCGCTAGACAGTTTGTCCTAATTCGATCTCGGAAACTACTGGACCGATATTCCTCGGATTTGTTTTAAATGAAAGCTCTTAGGCTGTAGATGTGCACGCACCCCTTGATTTTTCGATTTGCGCGACCGATAATGCAAAATTTACTTCGATTTGATAACGACATATTTGCCTTTTTGCCGCTGGACGAGTCATATGGTTGGGGGACCTCCCACCCTCTGATTTTCCGTTTCCCTCTCCACGTAAACCCATCCCTACCTGCCGTTAACACGTGTCACTCTTCTACTGTAGCATGGGTCCTGTGGCAGTATCCCTCCCTTCCTTATGCCGTCTGACTCGGAACACCTGCTACGCATTTCCTCCGTCGCATTGCTCATGATCAGTTCTCGGTTTGTCCGTTAATCGAGTAATAAGTAAACAAGGTGGAGAAATGGTGCTGGGTCCACACCATTTCGCGGGGAAACAAAGCCAAGAAATACCGAAAATTAAAATTAGAGTCAAAAATAAATTTTTAGAACTCTAATGCGCACCAGTACGAAACTGAGGGGGGAGAGTGTTCAGCTCAGGCAGTTTGCAATGGAATATTAAATTGGAGTCACGCATTTTTCTCGGATTTTCCTTGTTTTGTTATGAGAGTTGTTCAGCAGCGACGGTAGATGGCGCGAGGATCACACTTTTGTGTCATGCCTCGGGTCATATCCATGACGGCGTTTTAATGCCGTCTTGGATTTTGCGGCATGTTAAGTTGGGTTCACTGCCGAGTGTGATCTTCTGATGAGGTCTAATAAGGCCCAAACCGGTAAAGATCTCTCGGCGTGACTCCAACTTAATATTCCATTGCAAACTGCCTGAGCTGAACACTCTCCTCCTCAGTTTCGTACTGGTGCGCATTAGAGTTCTAAAAATGTATTTTTGACTCCAATTTTAATTGTTGGTATTTCTTGGCTTTGTTTCCCGCGTAATGGTGTGGACCCAGCACCATTTCTCCACCTTGTTATATACAGTTTTGGGCCGCTTCTTAGTGTTTAATTTTTTCATTTGTAATAAGTAAACTGTAATCGGTCCGTAAATCGCATTTACCGTTTACTTGTAAACGGTAAATGCGATTTAACCGAAAATCTATACAGTTTTTCATCAGACCAAAATGGACAAAATTACAAAAGAAACAGCTAACGTAAATCTAACGATATTTATCGTGAACGAAAGAATTGACGACATAGATCGGGTAACTATTATAGGTGGGATAAGATTAGCGCGGAGCATTCTTAGGTTTTTTTTAAAAAAACCAAGTAACGTAGACTCTTGGTATTCATTACACATAAACTAGAAAGCCCCAGAATGACAAAAAAAGTTATATCATAATTTTTGACGGATTAGTAAACTTTTTACATGCTTTGGAAAATCTTAGAAGTTCGCGGCAATTACTTTCCAGTAAGGAACTAAGGGACTCAGTTATTGTATCGAGTGGGGGGTCGAAACGATCGCAAAGGCGGTATACTACGTATACGCGCCAAAATTGGGATACACGATTTTATTGTTTTAAGTTGTTCATTTGGGTATACAGAACGCTCACAAAAAGTCCCCATGAATCCGAGGTGTGCTAAACCCAGGGGAGGGGGGGAGGGTCAAATTGGGGTATTTTCGGGTTTTTCTTGATTTTAGTGGTTTAAATGTTGGCCTGAGCGCAAAAAAAGGTTGTAATCAATTTGAACTATCGTGAAATGCCCAACAATGAGTATTCCTGAAACTTCGGACCCCCTCGCCCCCTCACCCTCCCTTCCCCTCCAAATTACGTTAATTTTTACCCTAAAATCGGGGTTCTTAAGTGTTCCCATCTGTAGCGGTATAAATATTAGTTTTAATGCAGTAATGCTACTATGAAGAATCTTAAAAGTTGAACAAAAAGAGCTCTAAATACTCTTAGTTTTGTTTGCATTACCGCCCCACTACCCCCAAATACCCTTACCATTTCGCCGACTACCCTCCCCCTTTCCCTCAATTACGCCATTTTTCGGCATTTAACGGCTTGAATGGAAAGAAATGATTACGTACACTCAATATAAAATGTCCGAGTAGAATTATTCAAAATCAAAACAATAAGTAAGCCCCATGAAGCCCCCCCACCCCCCCTTCCACCCCTCCCATAAAAAATTATTTTCAACTCGTCCGATTTTACTCCTGGCAAGATGACACTGTGCAACTAGACAAAAGGTGGAAAGTGATCCTTGTTTAGTTCGACACGTCGAGTTCGGAAATGACCCCGGTTTTTATGTATCGCCTTCGCGCACCTTCTAGCTTTCCAGAAAAGCTAGTGTCCATCAGAAAATTGACTTCGTGCTTTCGGTGTTCTTGCAGAAATTTTCCTGTTCGGAATGCACAAGAAAATGTATTGGTCTCCTCAGTGTACCTATTTCTGTGCATCTTGAGCTGCTAGAACTGAACATGACCTGACCGTTTTCTCTCGTTGGACTGGTGGACTTGGACGTCGATCTGCAGTCGGGTTGTATATCTTTTGGTGCTCATTGCTATCCATTTTGATACTTAGACGTTCTCATAAAATACGATTTTTGATTGATTTTTGTATTATTTTTTACCATTTGGCATATACGTTTAGAAATTTAGAACAGAACTTAAAATTAAAATTTGACATGAAATCACAAATTGGTTGGTTCTTCAAGGTGGTGTTGGTGGTTTTACTTATGTTTTTTTTATGCTCCTTTAAAATTAGCTTAAAATTGGCTATAAATGCAATTGCATTAACAGTTTTTGCACTTTCACCTGCCTGGCATGGTTAGAGGTTAAAGAAAATTTATAAACGAAATGTAATAAAATATCAAAAAATGAATTCGGAAGATACATAAGTTTTCCACGAAAAATGACAGATCAAATCATTTCTAGGTTCAAGATTTTACACTAGAATTTGATGAGGGACTTTATTTCAAGATTCAGTAATTACACGGACTTTAGAGTTACAAAAAAGGCTCACCTATTTCTGTGGACATTTTCACTTAAAAGTGCTGTGGTGAAGTCGGCATCATACTTGACCTTCGGAATCTTTTCAAATTCAAAGAAAAGCTGATTGTCATCTCCCAGTGCTTTTTCCAACGCCCGACACTGAAAAATATCAAATTCACAGAAGTACTATGAATGAAAAAACTTTAATAAGATAAGCTTCTTCGTTAAAAAGGCTAACTTTATAGGCTTCTGCTGACTTTAATAACGTGTCCTTCGCTAACGTCTGGTAAACTGCTGGACCAACGGGCGAAGCGAAGTAGTTGCCGTTGTTTAAAAATCACTCGCTATCGGCAGCTTCCCTTAAAAATTGGATTTATTCTGTTGGCTCATGATTATTTTATGAGTGTTCTCAGTATTTAGATGTCATAGCATTCATTTCTAAAATTCGCTTTTGTCACGGCGATGATCGGTTGCCTATTTGAAAAGCAGATGACAATTCTTCATCTAAAAATACATTATGAAGGAACTAGATTTGCGCTGGAACTACTGTGACGTAGCGAGTTTACCAAAGTAGTTCTCGCCCAAAAGTGGCTATTTTGAAAGTCTGAGATTCTGGGGCGTTTATAGGTTGACTTTTTGAGGGTTTCCAAGGGTCAAAACACTAGCATATTTTTGATATTTGAAGTGGCAGTTTTTTTTATTCAAGTAATACTAGAAAAAAAAATGGTACAACGACCCATTGAAAATAAGTGAACAAACTCATAGGCTGCAAGATGATAGCTGATAGAGACCGAATTAGAGGTGCAAAAAATCACGCGATATTTATTTCCCTTAAGTTACATAATTTATGACCCCCCTACCCCCTCCCACGGCGACAAGTCGTGGGAGCAGCACAGATTCAAATCCGGCCATGGTTATAATAAGCGGTGAATTCAAGATCTTCCACGACAGTATTAACAGGAATTGCAGAGGCTGAACTTCCCATCACAACACCCTGAATTTGTTAATACTATACCTGGTGTTTCAGAGCACCCGTCTTCTATCTCTTTCTTGGGAACGGCCGAAAATTGAGCTGTGGGACAAAAACTTTCATTGGTAAATCAACCCTTCAATCAAAGGAAATATTTTCAGCCCCCAAAACCTCATTTTGGATAGGTTTTAAAGGATACCCCCTTTTGGAGGGAAAAGGGGGTAAAAAAAAAGAATCTGGTGTAAATAGGCCATAATCCATATCAATTCTAGGTAATTTATCGCGAAAAATCCAAGTCTAAAGTCGAGTCATACCTTGCCATTTGATAATTTTGACTTATGGCCCTCCAAAGCACCAAAATTGGTCAACTGGGGTCATTAAGCACATTAACAAAAAGGTATTGAGGATTCCTCCCAGGAGACTTTTAGATATTGGAAATTGGATAATTTTAACGCCTACAGTGTCTAATTGGACTTTGCCCAAAAAATGCCCCATAAGGTCCAGTGACGCCAAAAAAATGGGGGTTCAGGGGAAGAATGGCATGGAACAAAGAGTTCTTATTTCTTACCATAAAATTCGAATCCGAGGTCAAAACATATCCTTTCTATTTGAAATATACGAGAAAAGGGAGTGCCCCCTTACCTCTCCCCCCCCCCCCCCCCTAGGGTTTTGGGGGGCTGAAAATAGTTCTATAGAATTCTTCGGGGTTGATTAACCTGTGAAAGTTTTTGTCCCGATGCTCAATTTTCGGCTGTTCCCGAGAGAAAAATAATAGATGGGTGCTCCGGTATGTCTTGATGTTGAAAGACTTTCGAGAACATAGCAACAGAAAGCGTGTATAAAAATTCTTTATTGCGGATTGAACGAACATTTTTAAATGAGGGTCAAAAGGTTTTCATTTTTTGTTAATTTTATATTCTGTTTTCTTGTTCCCCAGTTGACAAAAGGGTTGGGCCCACCTCAAAACACACAAGGCATTTTGTATGTATTTTAGCTTTTTTTATCTGTTTTATTGTGTTTGCTTTTTGGAATATAAGGGTATTTTTGAGTACTGTTCTCATTGAATACACAGGGTGTTCCATGATTAAACGGTCGTATTGCAGGGGTGCAGCTTGTGAGTAAAAATAGTTCTTCTATGAAATTTTTTCCTATTATGCCCTCTGAATGAGCTAAATCCTCCCTCCCTCCCCCCTCAATCTTTGAAATTCATCAAACTGGTAACTTGAACAGTTAGCGGAGTACCCAAAAACAAACCAACCAGTGATGTTGGGGACTCCACTAGGATGTCAACGGTTTTGAGTAAACGACAAATTAGGCGGCGCGGCCCGTTTCCACAGGTATTTTTACATTTACCAGCCTGCGAGCTGCAACGGAATCTCGTTTTAGAGATATACAGTTGAACTCTCACCGTAGCGTGGAAGATCCACTCCACTGTGGCCTCGATTTGTCCTCACAGTCTGCGTTGGCTGCTCTCCTTCGAGGGATCGCGATGGTCAGGTGCCTCAGGGACCAGGCGGTTGCATGGCTGGCCCGCCTTCCCTCGCCGCCTCCCCCTGTGTTCTTTGTGGCTACCGTAGGGTCCACGGAGGTTATGATCCGGCCCCTTACCACGCGAGCTGTTAGCCTTTATTATGCCCGGTCCTTTACGGCTCGAATTGATCAGTTGCGGACACTGGGGGTGTACCACTCTTCTAGATCTCTGGATCCTCGGTCTCCATTGGGTACCCCCTTGGAGTGGCTATTCCTTGGGGGAGCAGGGTGGGCCGAATCGGTGCCTTGCCCCCGGGGGCCGGTCACGGGGGTCACTGTGTTCTACAGAGTACCAGAAGGACGTTCGGAAGAGGGATTGAGCGCCTGATGGGGCCACACTTGTGTGGGATGAGACCTTCAGTGAGTTATTTATAGTGAGGTCACGGTTACCCGCCAGTTCTGTGCGAACAACTGAAACTGATGCACCCAAGCATGCATCAGGTAAAGAGATTGCGATCTAAATGTTGGCAGGTAGCTAATGATGGTGACCAGGAAGCTGCCGAAACATCTCAAGTACAGTTGTGCATATGAAAGTATTTGTTTCATTAAAATATTTAGTATCATGAACATATTGAAGAATTATACCTTTCAAAAAATGAGCTTGTTCAGTAATATTTGATATCTGCATTTTTGAAAATTAAAGAGGGTACAGATTGCTCCCCACATTCGTCAAGGTAAAAATTATCGATAATTTGAAGTCAGATTTTTTATTAGTGAAAGTTATGGTGACAAAGGCATACCATCGGTTCTTTCGAAGTGGCAGGGTAAATACCAAAACTAGCAGGTAGCCAACGTAGATCCATGCTCCAACGTAAGTCAGATGCTACATTTTTATTTCCTGTGGCTTTTTTGTTCAATAGACTGGGAGGTTCACTTTTTTTACTGCCAACAAGGCCACTCCACATTTTTCGCCCTTTCTCTGTCCTTTCTTCCATAGAACCGCTACCACTTAAAAAACTTAAATCTGAGGAGAACACATCAAAAATTAGGAAACAAAACACGCAAATCAGGTAATATACTTAAATCTAAAAATTCTCCATGGCCATTTTCCATTAATAGCGGTTTAAGTTTGGCTGACAAAAAAAGAAAAGTATGTTGCCGATTCAATGAGCTTGTTAATCTGTTTCTAATTCTTACATTTTCAGAAACTGCAAACATTGTCTTCTGATCACGCAGTATTTTTTTTAGATTTTTCCGAGCCGTTTTGCCCTCCGAAAACGACTTTTGAAGTTCGAAATTTGAAAACACCGCGTTTGCCTGGTCTTTAGCGACAATCCAATTTGGTGTTAAAATTACCCCCTGGCTTCTTGCCACACATTCAACCAGGCGCCATCAGCGGGACCGCTACGCGTTCGACTATCGAGGATGATCAATCATAACTACCAACTGGCTGTTATCAATTTCACCTTTTGATAAAGATTTCACTCGTTTTTGGCATATTCTCTGAGCTGTTATTTGTTCAACGAAAATATCGAACCCTGCTTTACAAATATCTGGACCTGCAATCTCCTTGGAACATTGGAAAATATGGAAGTAACGCCTAAACGTGTGCTAATTTTCTCCGTCATTTCAGTACACTCAGGTACTCTGTTTCCATGGTAGAGAAGTGAATTTAGGAATAATTCTTCTTGAGAATGTAGAAAGCATCTGTTTTTGCAATAGTTTTTGGTTAAACTTGTAAGTCTCTATTTTCCTTTAGAAACAATCTCGTGAAAGGTGAAATGCTGCCACTTGAAGAATCTTTCATGTCCCAAACCTTATAACTGCGGAATTTTTTGCTTAGAAAGCTAATATCATTTGTAAAATACCCTTTTACTCATACATTATCGTATGAGTACAACATTAGGGGAAGGCTTACAAACTGTTTAATACTTCAGATTGCACAGTGAAATCCTGACACTATTACTTACCATGCTGAAGCTTCATGTTGCAAAGCCTTGTGCTTTATTTGAGGACGTAAATATTTTGGAGGCAAATTCTTACTTCTCATTTACAGCTATGTAAATAAATTCAGTAATTGAATCTCCTTCCCTTAATGCCTCTCTTTAAAGAAATATCCTCAATGTATTACATGTATTACACGTTAACTCTCATAGCCTTCCACGATTTTCTATTCTGGGACCATAAACTTATTAAACTGTTCAGTGTTCCATAATTATGGACAGGTATATTGTGAATTGCTAATGCATGCCATTCTTTGATAGTTTGTCTCAATGCAAGCTATAACATCAGTGATTTAGACTCCATTTCTCATCCACCCATTTTCTTTGTAATCACATTCTCCGCAAGACTTTGATTCACTTTGAACCTGATTTTTTTTGGTAAATGATGGCTCAATATGCTGAGCGTTTTCCCAGAAAGTTACAGAAGTTACATTCTTCGACACAGAAGTACAAACAAATTTTGAGAAGATGCATGCCCTGACTCTGAATAAATGGATGCTGTTTAAAATCCTGAAGATGAAAGGTGAGTAGCTATCTACTTTGTAAGTTCCCTTCTCGATTTCAATTAAATGATTTCTAATGGCAGATAATAATTGTTCCTCCTTCTTTCTTACATATTATTTATTGAAATGAAATACATAAGGCTCTTTATCAGTGAAATATTTTTATGAAAAAGCAACTGAGTACAACGACTGAGACCAAAAAAAGATGATGGAAACAATAAAATGAGGTGAGAAAATCTGCCAACTGGAGGCCTCTACTTCAAAATATTGCAATCACATGAATTTGTTAGCTGAAGTCTAACGCGTCCACCTGCATACTTGATTTTAAGGGTTTTTATGGGTGTACTGAAGGAGAATCTAAAGAAATTTTCTTCAACTTAAATTTTAATCAGTACCTAGACATTTTTGCTGTGGAATTGAGATTTGAGGTTGTCATGTCAATCCAAAGATAAGAAAATACATTAGTGTGCCTTCGGAGTAACACTTGCTACATTTTTGGTGATTTTCAATTACTGGAAATTACACTCATTGCGCACCACAAACATTTTAAATGAGGAGACCTTGTACGTTCCAAAGAATCCAAAATAAGTTTTGTGCATGTTGGAGCAAATTTAGTTACATGATAGTTTGAATAATATTGGTTTGTACCTTTTGATTGCAGAATTTAAATGATTAAATTTTAATGATTTCAGGATTTTGCATAAGGGTCTGTCGGCGAGGACACACACAGATCCAGAGTAGAATGTAGACCCATGTCAAAGAAAATTCCTTTGAACTGATTTTTTAGTAAATAAATGCTCAAAAAATTGAAGCATAATTTACAACACCATCAGACTTTAAAGGGAGTTGGTCATGAGGAAGTATTCACAACAGCATAGGAAAGAATATGTGGATATATACCTAAGTAGAGGTAATAATTAAATATGCAGATTACTGACTTTAACATTCAAGAAAGGAGAAAAAATCTGAAAGTAAGTGCTTGGTATCAGATGTCCTAGCAGCATAATGCTTGTCCAATGTCAAGATTGTTAGAATACCGGATGGTTAAAAGTGTAAGAATCTATGTTTGACCGCAGGAAATGTATCATTAGGAGAACATTTAGATGTATATTTTGATTAACACAAACACTGTAAAAATCGTGTGTAATGTTAACCCCGACACGGAAAACACGGCGATTTCAACTGAAAAACTAACACCTTTAGATATGTCATAGGCACACACACATATAACGAACACAGTTGTAGAAGGTATTTCCGGATTTTCCAACGTTCCAAGGAGATTGCAGGTCGATATATTTGTAAAGCAGAATTAGATATTTTAGATGAACGAATAATAGTTCAGAAAATATGTCAAAAACAAGTGAAATCTTTGTCAAAAGGTGAAATTGAAAACAGCCAGTTGGTTGTTTTGATCAGCCTCGATATTCGAAACGTATAGAGGTCCCGCTGATGGCACCCGGTCGAATGTGTGGCAAGATGCCAGGGGGTAATTTTGACGCCATATTGGATTGCCGCTAAAGCGCACGTAAATGCGGTGTTTTCAATTTTCGAACTTCAAAAGTCGTTTTCGGAGGAAAGACAGTTTGGAAAAATCTGAAAAAATTACTGCGTGATCAGGAGACGATGTAGTTTCTGAAAAAGCAAGAATTAGAAACAGGTTAACAAGCTCATTCAGGATAAAAATTTCTTAACTAGAAATTGACATGACAGAATTGCCAAAGAGAAAAAAGAGCAAAACATTTTCATTAATGGACGACCATGTACCAATAAGAATGATACAATTTATTTAAATCAGATGAATTTTGAAAATACCAGCAAAGCAGTAAGACAAAGTATGCCGTTTACGGTAAGCCTTCCCTCCACTATTTTCCTTTTGATATAAAGCGAATACAATGTGAAAAAAAGGGCTTACAGAACCAGATCAGCTTTAATGCTCACAGTTTTTTCATCTTACTTTGATGCAAAAAAAATTGACTCACAGAGCAGAAATTTAGGATCAGGAATAAATATTTCGGTCTGATCGCACAGTCAAGCTTAAACTTCGGCAGAATTTATATTGATACTGAAGACGTACCTTATCAACTTAAAATAATCAAACTAATACAAGGAAGACTAATGTACGGAAAATTTGCTCTTTCGATAGGGTTAATATAAAACAGCTTGTTGAATGCCAAAAACCTCGCATTTTACGCCAAAATCGGCCTCTTAACACATGTTTAAGCCAGTACTAGACCCCCAAATAGACCGAAAATGACCAAGTCATGATACATTCCGTAAAACTTGGAAATGAGCTCCTGGAATGAGCAAAAAATCATCGAATTGAAGAATTTCAGGGACAGCCCTCATCAAAACCCCTCCTTAGGCAAATACCTCAATGTGAATTGTCATTTAACAGCCTGCACCTCTATTAGCTTTGGTCTTAGGGTTTCTTGAAAGACGCAGAAAAAAATTGACTTCATTTTTGAACCGTACGACCCTGAATACCGAAGGGTTGATACCTCACTATGCATCTACACTAGTATAGGCAAATTAATATCCCAGGGTGGTATTTTGGGTCGCCATCTTTAATTTTGGCCTAAAAATTACTTTGAAGCTAACTTCCGACTAAAAATTAGGATTCTACGATCCAAAATAAATAGGCATCGACACCTGACAAGACATATTTGGAAACTTCAAATTTGTTTACCCCAAAACTGTCATTTGGCCGCCATCTTGAAGTTGGGGGGGGGGAGGCTTTGCATTAAATTTGAGATGACCATCATAAATTTTCTTTTACTAGACATCAAAACGAGGAGATTGGTGTATGACACAATATGCCTTCAATAACATGCACACGGGACATATGTTACGTATGCCCTCTGACTTGTCTTGTTTTGAATTATTTACAGAATGAAATGTTCATTTTTTTCTTTCTTTTACAATTATCAGGATATTTAATCTCTCAACTCTAATTATATAATTTACTATACCTATTTCTTGTATTTGTAGGCATTAATCTTATGTTTTTTATTAACTAACATTTTTACATGCTAATAATCTGTTTTTTCATCCCCTTTAAAGAGTAGTTGTCATTATTACCAGTGGATAGGTTGTGTGAATACTGTTCAGGTGCAAGTTCATTCCTATCTTCTGATTGGAGAAACTGGTTTAACGAATTTGAGGACTGATTGACAGAAGACAATACTGTGCTGGCAACATGAGAGTTAACGGCTGTGGAATGAGGAATCATTGGTTCTACACTGGGCACTGTTGCTACGTGTGCAACATGTTGACTACTACTGATGTTGTTGTTGGTTTCCAATACTGCTTTCCTTGCTTTTGATGCTGATGTATGAATCCTTGGTTCCGGGGAAATTGGAAGGTTTGGCTCACTGCTCCTTAACCGTTGGTCAGGGCTATTAGTTTCTCTTTTTCCTGGCATCACCCATGGTAATGGAACATTTTCATAAATAGGCTCTGAGACTTGGGCCAAACCTGAAAAACAAGACTAACGGTAAGGAGAGGAAATTGAGAAACTGACTCAACTTCAATCAAATTTAACGTGTTCAGCCCTACGTTCCAGTATTCTACGGCCGCCCAGGACGCCTTCTTCAACTTACACTAGGGTGGCTCATATTTTGGACTTTTCCGAATTTCTTCGGGTGGAACCCTTCAATGGACGTCAGTTGGTGAGTAATGAACGGGAAAAAAAAGAATTTGAAAAAAATGATTTTTGACCGTGCTCCAAGGGCCTTTGGTGTCAGATTTCATTCTCGCGGCACACTTTTTTTTAGGTTTTGCCCCTCTCTTTTGAGTATCATGAACGCTGCCTAAACAAGTGAAACTATGTGATATGGTCCAAATTTTTACGTACTTCATAGTTATGAGATCAAATTTGTTGTCAGGCTTTCAAAAACCCCCCTTTTCATCCCTGACAGTGGCCCGATCGGGCTGCTCACGCCGTGAACATGGCTCGGCCAGCACCGGCCTCGCCGTCGGCCGACTCCGCGCCGTGGTCGCTCCTTCCCCGCGACCCGCGCTCCCCCCTCCTCGCCGCCGCGCTCATCTTCTCGCGGCCGCGCTCCCCCGCAACCCGCGCGCCCTACCTCGCGGCGCACTATGGTCCGAACAGCCGGTTTAAGCGGCAATAAATCGAAAAAGTGAAGTTTGGAAAAAGTTAGATTTTAAGAGGTAGATCGATAGTACATACTGTAGAGAAGACTCTTGTAAAATTTCACTTCGATTAAAGCACTAATAAAGATGTGACAAGCCTGGGAAGTGCGGCGCGCGGAGCACTTTATGAGTGCGATTCCAGTTACCGAGCGGCAGTGCTGTGTTTAAGGGCTTGTTTTCGTCGTTTCACCGTACCTGAAAGTGTTTGGGCACTTGATTCACAAAATATAAGATAAGTTTAAGATGTTTCATGCTGAAACTATTCTTTTTCATCATATCTGATGTTCTAGATTAACCTTTAAACATAGTCACTTTTTTCAATAAAATCGCAAAAGTAGGACCCAAAAAATATCCTTTGCACCTCTGAGCACCTCGTAATTTTACTCGGAAGTTATTGTCATGACTCTAGACTACCTTTAAGTCTGAGTGGCAGATCAATCACACACAATCGCCTCAAGTTAATTCTCATGAAAAATGACGTTTTCGCGTTTCTTATCACTTACTACAATCAGCTATAATATGCCATTGACGATGACTTTTATCATGTTCCACTGTCATATTCTAGCAAATCGAATGCATTAGAGCCTAAATCTGCCCAGGCAGAATAATACGAGTTGATGGGGTTGATCGGGACCAATTGAAACTTTGTGCTCAAGAACAGCAAAGAATCGCCTCGGGAGGCTACTTTGAGGCCCCGTAAAAGTTTTTTTTTGACGTTTTAAGTGTTTCAAACATATAATCTATCAGTGTAGAGATATGTTAGCATAAGTTTAGCTTGGCAGACGAAAACAAGTCTAAACGGTTGATCGGTGGGACTTGAAAGTAAGGCTCCCGAGCAATGAAATTGTCTTAGGAAGCCACTGTGAGGTCCCGTAAACGTTTTTTTTTTTACGTTTACCCATGTTTCAAACAAATAATCTATCAAAATGGATATATTTAAGCTTAAGTTTCGCTTGGCAGACGAAAACAAGTTCAAACGGCTGATCAGTGGGACTTGAAAGTAGGCCTCTGGAGCCATGAAACGTAGAAGTATTATCCTGAGCTGTCTTTTTCAAGTTCCCTTGATAGTAGTGTTTGACGAGGCTCTACTTTTAGCTTCTTATAGTCCATCCAATGTAAAATTAATTTTTAAACTTATAAAAAAAAAAAAATTCTACCGAGAATCGAACCCGGGACATCAAGAAGAAAAGTGAGACGCGATGCCAACTGCTCCACCGCGACAACTTGAAATTATAGACTCAATTGAAGGTTTCTGAACAAATTATTACCACAATTATATAAAGTATAAAAATGTTAAAAATGGATTTTTCCTGAAGAATATTAGCATTTTTGCACTCAGCGACCCTAAAAACCCCTGAAAACTCATGTTGCGAGGTTTAAACATACGTATCTGATTTAATGCCGCTTAAACCGGCTATTCGGACCATAGTGCGGCGTCGCGACGCCGCTGTCCGCTAGATCGCGTTGACGCACCTAGCTTTAGACGTTCCGCCGCACTCGCCCGTCGTTTGACTTTGACGGCATCCCAGCGGCGCGGCCCATGCAAACTGTGAATCATCGTACAATCCCTCACACCAAGGCTGAGCACCTTAGTAAGTGTACTTTCACCATATCTCTTTCAGGTTTTCAAGAAGAATCACCCGGTCGACGCCTTCCCACCAGACGCGGTATCCGCATCTTGGAACAAGTCCTGTCAGACGCTTAGCTGTTTCAGCTACACAGCGCAAGGCTCCCGGCTGCATCCAGCTGCTTCTCAGTCCAGCTCCCAACGCTGTTGACTGCACAGTGGCTCCCGTGATTGGCAGCTTACAGCACTGCACGGAGCAACCCGCAATCGCTTCATCGCGATATCCGTCCGAGCGATTCGCTTAGGCAAGCCCTGGGGGTATCCCTTGGGAGTCTTCACCGCGCTTCAAGCGCACAAACTGAAGACGCCGCGCCCACTGTCGCGGATTGCCTGCCCATCAGGCGCCCACCGCCTGATCCAGTCCACTCAAGCGCTCGGATGAGCTTCCATCGCCGCGCCGGCCTTACAACCCGGTGCGAGTGACGTCAGCGCGGTGAACGGAGATGGCTGCCTTCAGTACAGTTCCGGCTAAATTTAGTGATTTTTGGGTAACTTTATGGAAAATGTAATTGAAAAGTGATTGAAATTGTTCGTGCCGAGCAGGATTAGAACCAGTATCTTGGATTCGACGACCAGGTTGTACCTTTTCGAGTTATTTAGACTTTTATTTTTGTAGACTTGTCCGCCATTGTTACGGGATCGCCACGTAGAGAATCACATCGCTTATTCTGGAACTTTGAAGAAGAAATGGAACAATTTAGATTATAGAAACATTTAATTTGAAGTCGTGTGTGCATGCAGGTTTAGGAAAATTATTTATTTAGGAACAAAAAATTTTAAGGAACTTATTTTGTCGATGGTGTGGGTGCTGTCCTTGGGGTCTGGGGTCGGGGGCTTTGCATGCGTTGGCTTTCATATTTCACAACTTTGGACCGTTCTTCACCCGTATTTCATGTCGCCTCATTTCATTTTCATACCCGTGGACTTAACCACGTTAAAAAATTTTAGGAACCGTTTTTCATCTTTTCACTTCATTTCATAAGCTGAGTGTGCATTGCTCTCGGCTGGGGGGCCCCATAGGCGGTATTCCGCCATTGATTTTGTACTGTGATTATTCTGCCTGCTTGTACGCGCGATAAGAACTCTACGCGTCCGCGTCATCTGATAGCTTGGCCGTCGATTCCGAGTGATAATTTTGAACTTGACTTAGAATTTGTTTGTAAACATAAGAAAGTAATTTTTTGCCTGCTCGCGCGCTTTTCGGTCCGAGAAACCTTTTCAGCCATCTTCGTTCTTCGCCGCCCGCGTTTTCGTTGCCTCCGTCACCGGGGGGGCATTGGCTTCGGCCGGTGCTCCTCTGTGACGTAAAAATTGGAACTTTTATTTGGAACAATCCGTGGAGATCACCACGTTAAAAACTGACGAACCTTGGGTCCCGTTGGGGTTCGGACTTTTATTATATTGTGGCTCGCCTTCCTCCCTCTTCCCGTCCGCGGCCTGGTGTCCCTGCTCGCTGATCTGATCGGTGCGTCCGCCCGGGCTCTCTGCTTCTCGTCTGCTCGGTTCGCTGGGTGGCCTTGTGGTGTGTGTGTCGTCCTGGAGGTGACCTTGGTGGTGGGTTCCGGTCGTGCCGGGGGTGGCGTGTGCGTGGGCTTCATTTCATTCATCTTTATCACCGTGGAGACACCACGTAAAAAACAGTTGGTAGCGATAACATCACAGCCTTTGCCCGCGCACGTATACGCTTTCTCTCGGCGGGGCTGGACCTGATCTGCCTTGATCTGCCGGGGCGGCGGGTCG